GGTATCTAGTATCTGAGATTTTTTGTCCATGTGCTAGCTGACTGAGAAGCAACCCCGGGGAAATGAATCCAGTATATATTAATGGTGTTCCTACTGCTGTTTGTTTTCAGTATTTTCTGTGTGAGCAAGTATTGTTTGTGTGTGTTTGTTTGTGTGGACAACAAAAAAGTTGCTCTCTTCTAGTTCTCAGGAGGACCGGATTTAAATTTTATTTTATAAACTAACGCCACCATTCATTATTTTAGCGAAGCACAAAGCAGTAGTTCTCAAGTAAATTTCTGCTCTGGCTGCATGTGGGAAACGGTTATTTAAAGCTTCCTTTTACCTTACTGCAGTGAAGGGGATGCATGGCAAACCATACAGTTCTTCTTCAGCTAGTGAATGTTTTCTGTTTGTTTGTGTTAGACTAGAAATGGATTAAGAGGTTAGCAAAAGCTTATGTAAAAGTGTTCACTGTCTTTGATATGTAGTAGCCTAAACACAAACATCTACACACAGATCTAGACGTATGACTGAAGTATTATAAAAATGGAGTATCAGCTTTGGTTAACTAAATTCTGGAATCCAAATATTTGTTTCAGCTGGTAGTTTGAAGTTATTTAAAAGTACCAGTAAGTCAGCTGCGCTTTTCTTTTCAAGCTTTGTGTACAAAGTTAGAGACATGAAGTAATACTGATGTGCTACGTAATACTTTGTCTGTTCCATAATATCTGTTAATCACTGTCGGTTTTAAGTAGCTCAGTGCTGTGCCAGGGTTTTGAAAGATTGTGCAAGGATATGGATGTATCTGAAAAGAACTGTATCAGCCAAAGCAAACTAATCTTCAGGGGTGATGGCTTTATACCAAGAACGGGAAAACATATGGGAGGCAGCCTACTTTACCCAGAAATCTTGTAACAGTAAATCTGGGCTCATGTCAAGACAAAAGAGCTTGAAAATGTAGTTCCAATATAAATTGCTATTATTTGAATTTTCTGAAGTTTAAATGAAATGTACAATAAGAAAAAGTTAAACTAATAAATCCTAAATACAGAATGCAAATTTTTTCTAATCATATGTTGGAGAGGGAAACAGTGAACAATTTCTTCTGTTTGGTAATGTCCATGCCCACTCCCACCCATTTCTGCCCGCCCCCCCCGACGAAGTAGCTGTTTGTGTAATATGTTTGGTTTAGGCTGATTAAGCAAACATCGTTAGCCTTGGACTGGGAAAACGTCATTCTTTTCCTCCTTTCTCCCCCTGTTTTCAGAGTACTACTTAAAATGATCTTTAATGCAGCGTTTCTTAAACAGATCTGCAACATGTGGAAAATACTTCTTTTATGGTAGGTACAAAGTAAGCTCTACAAGTTCTAAGAAAATGTTTACTGTGCTGTCAGTAGCCGTGTCAAAAAATATTTTAAAAGTACTTGCACAAGGTTAAGATTTTTTTTGTATTTTCTATATACACTGAAATAATAGCAGTTAAATGTAAAAATGTATATAAATAAAATAATTGTTCTAGAATTGTAATTTATAGTATGCTTCTTTCCCCATGCACCCATATTTCAATGGGATTTTTTGATGTGTACTGGGATCAGTAATGCTAAACTGAATCAAGACAATAAAATTCTAGATGTAAGAGTCTGAAGGGGGGGGGCTGAAGAGAAACCCAGAAAATTTATATTAGTTAATAACTTGCAGTCTTTTTTTTTTTTAAAAAAAGGACTCATTTTTTAATATAAGAAAAATAATGTACCGACTTCAAACTTCTGTGAAATGTCCAACCAATATGGAATGCATTCAGGGCAAATACTTTAAAGTGCTTAGAATAAATAACTTTCTATAGGGAGGACAAACCTTTCTTGTGTAGATACAGTATGTCAAGAAATTCAAGCAAAACACAAGAAAAAAACATGTTAAAGTGTTCTTTTCCCTTTTGTTCTTTGTCTGATCATTCTTCAAAGACTTAATACCAAGGAATACAGTATGACAATTAGATTTCTTTCTCTATTTCTTCCTCCCCCTCTACCTTGTGATCATGTGTATGGTCACAAGCATGGAATATATTGGTGGATCTGAGAAAATGCCCTAGCCTGCTGAGCAGAGATCATAGAGTACATGAATGACACATAGGAATTTACAAATCATGAATGAATTGCTATGCCCATAAGTTACAATCCTTTAACACAGAAAAAGAAGCATGGCTTTTCTTGATATAAAATCTGTGAATTTGGAGTTTCTGTAGCAGTTGTTTAGCTCATCTTGGTAAAGTAATGTCCAGAGTCATACTGTTGATTTTAATGGATTTTTCATGTGCCTTGGATTTGCTTTAATCACAAATATTTTATTACAGTTTTGGTGTGTTTTGAGAGGGATGGACCCTCCTGATGCCCTTCATCTGGTATGTTCTCATGCATTTTCTTAACATCGTCTCCCTGTGCCAAATATAAAATATTGGGAAGGTTGTTAGTTCTGGAGGCTAATATCTTGCAAAGGTCTGCATCATTCTGTATAGTGACCATAATGTGGCTCACTGTATGCTACTCAGTATATATCATTACAAGGATTTTAAAAAGGGCTAGCAAGAATGTAATGCAAATGGTGATTGAAAGCAGTTGAAACTGAGTATCTCACTCCCTTAGGCCTCTGAAAATTTTGATCTGTGTATCTACTCTTTGTTGTCTGCAATGAAGGACTTACAAATCGAGGGAGTCTTACCCTGAAAAGTCCTTAAGGATATAGGTAGCTGTATGCAAAAGTCCTGCTGACATCAGAGTGACTGTTCACTGAAGTTAAGTAAATGCATTCGAGGAGTTTGAAAGGGTCTGGACAGATGGTCCTACCCAGTGGTGGGGGACACTGGCACAGTAGAGTTGTCTTCTGCTGAAGTCAGAGAGAGCGCATAGAAATGCACAGAGCCAGGGAAACCAATCTCATCACAAGCCAGATCTGCTGTAAACAGTCTAATATTTGTAGATAACATTATATACCAAATATTATTATTATTTTTGGCTTAGGAGTGGTGTTGACATATTTTAGGGAATAATAGTAGCTATGTGTTGCAGAGCCAGCAGGAGTACAAAATCATGCTGCCCAAGTGCAGGGGAGGGGATTGGTTTGGTTTTGCTTTTCCTCAATGTGTGGGTATTTTAGGATATATTTATATTTATTTTTTCAGAAAAGGTATCTAGGATAATATTATTGCTCTTGGAGTTTGTACTTAGTAGGTATTTATTTGTAACTTGGTAACTCTTAAATTATACTGAATATAATGTTTCACAGCTTTATACTTACTATATGCTTTAGGCTTGTCATTTAATATGCACATTTTTAGTGATGTGGCATGCTTGATTTGTTCCTTATGTCTTTATCTAAATGTTAGGATGGTCAAGAACTGACTCACCTAGCTTTAGTATGTTTGCATAACTCTGTTCCTGCTGTTTTTTTGCATAGAACAGCTTGGCAACCTTGACTGCATTTCTCTTTCTGTATATTTTGTTTGCAGGAACGCAGAGGAAGAGGGGCTCAGCTGAAGTGAGTATTTCTGGATAGCTGCATAAGGGATTAGAAAGTTGCATCACGTGTTCTTCCTAAGACTTCTCTATGCGTCTGCTCCTCATCTGATCATGGTTTAGGCAGGGTTCAGAGTGTAGGTTTGAACTTGAGTTTGGCTTCAGTCTTAACTGGCAGTACACCCACTTTGCTGTGAGAAAGTGGCTAATTAAACCTGCACGCATTTATTTTAACAGTACTATTGCACTGTTCTACTTGGTCTGTACTTTTCTTTGTAATTTCTTGCTTCTTTTTCACAGTGTAAGTGACCCAATCTGACTCAAATTTTGACCTCCTTGTTTTCTTCTGAGTTTCCATAATATGTGAATAGAGATGTCATTCAAGACACTTCAATATTTGGTTTTTTTGGTCTGTAGACCAGTGTCCTTTTTGTTGTTAAAAGTTCCTGCTCCATATTGCTTTGTTTTTAGATTGCTTCACTTGAAATAAAGCACTGTTCTGTCATGTCACAAGCAGCACCTTTACGGTAAATCAGAGAGAAGACTGTTCCTGAGAAAATGGCTACTGAAATACCTTAGTTTAGTTCATGCTAGGAAACATATGCTTTCCTAATGCGAGGGCTAGTTCAGCATCATCATAAACCCTGTTGGATGTATTAGATGTCAGCTGTATGTTAAAATAGAGATGCTCTCTGGATTTGGCTAACTGCAACAATTATTCTCTTTTTTATTAGCATTTTTCAAAGTCTTGATTTAGTGGTTGAATAATTCATCTTACCGCTCAGCTTATATGAATAAACATAGAGGAATGAATGTGAATAATTTCTAGCAAAGTAAAAATTCTACAAAATTGTTTTGTTCTTTTTTATTAAAAAAACAGTTTTAAATTTCCTTTTAAACACAGAACTTCGATTTCTTTTTTTCATTAAAGTATATTTGTTGCTTTGGTTTAGTCTTTCAGCAGCTAGTCCTCTGTCTTCTAATACTTGCAGAATTTTCAGTTTATGTTCTTGTTTCTCAAAACTTAGAACTTCTTTCAAGGGGACTATGAATGTTTTAATATGCAGATTTTTTTTTTTTTTAGTGGTCTGTGGCAGATGTTGTTGACCTCATTGGCTCCAGGAAATAAGTTACATTATTGTTTGCTTTGACTTTTATGTTCATTTGCAAGCAGCTTTCATTTGAAAAAAAAAAAGAAAAAAGTCAATAATTTGTTTTCCTCTTATAGTCATTTGTTTCTGGAAGATGCAGAAGGCGAGTGGCTGGATAAAATGGTGTTGACCAGTTCAGCCGCTAACAATATTACCTTTAAATAGTTTTCAAAATTTTTTTAGTATCTGTCTGTAGAAAATTGTCATAATAAAGCTACATATCCTGCGGCTGAGTTCTGGAAAATATTGTTCTTATTCCGATGGACACAGTTTCAGCTGACATAAATCAGACAGGTAAGTGTCTGTGATGGTCAAGACTGTATTTAGACAAAATAATAATTAGGTTGGTGCGTGGTTCACATTAGTGCTATAGGTTTGGATCCAGAATTACTTAGGTAGGCAGGAGACACTGTATCCACTTCCATAAAGGCAGAGTAAAGCGTAGTGAGCTGTAGGTCGGGTAGGTTGCTGTGTGGTGTTCCGTTTTGGATGTTGACGTTGCTGTTGCTGCTGTTCTCCATCTGGCAGTGAGAAGGGAAACACTGGGAAGACGTTGGGGATGATGATATGAGAACCAGGGGATCCACAGCTAGGCTGTCATCTTTCAGCTCCTCCCAAAGATTTCCTGTAATAAAATGGATTGATTCAACTTTAGATATGCTTTTTGAAACATTGTTTTATGGGAGAAATTAGTAATTATACAGTGGTGTATGCTGTGTGTGTAGGTACTCTTAATCACTTGTGACTGAGAAAGTTGTTATTTGTCTGTCTCCATGATAAATTTAAGTCTGGGAGAAAGCAGCATTAATTTAAGAAAATTATTTCACTTGATAAATGGCAAGATTCTATTGCAAATGTATTCTTATGAAGCAGAACTTCTATTTGAAAAAACCCACTAATTCTGTAAGAGGAAATTGCCTCTGTTATCTTTATAAGATATGGAAGAACTAGTGGCACTTTATGGGACAAATCTGCAAATAATACTACTTTACAACAGGCCTTCTCGTATTCTTACGGTGTAGCGTTCTCTGAATTGCAAACTAAATTACTGGACATGTGACTGACCTGACAGATCAAAAGATCTGAAACATTACTTTTTTCTAATGTGTAGCAAGAAGTTTCTCATCTTTCCGTTGGATGTGCATATCACAGTGAAAGCATTAAATAAGTTACTGCAGGAGGGCTGTATTTTTCATGTTCATCATTGAAGAGTTCTTTAGTGGGGGAGGTGTCAGGGAGACTGTTGCTCCAAAGCTACAGCTGCCATCTGCAGACTATCAAATGGGGTAATACTTAGCTCTTTTGCTAGAAGTTGTTTGAATTTTTTTGTATATGTGTGTGCATAATGATGTTGTTCCAAGTATGCAGGCCTTATCTTAAGTTCTAGGACCTCTAATTTGAGATTTGATAATTTTTATAAAGAAGGAAAATAAAAAGCTTAAATAAGGTTAAATAATTTAAGGTAAAGGCCAAGGACAGCAGGAAGTTGGAATTGGACCATATTGGTGAAGCACACAGAATATTCACAGCACCAATGAGCATGCTCCAGATTAACAGAGTAAAATGGAAAGAGGTTGAGAGAAATGAGTGGAATGTGAGATCCGGTTGCCTGAAAGAGGAAGCAGCTGAAGATTCAAGAAACTGTGTTGTTAATCTTAGTAAAGCAATCTGGGCGTGGCAGGATTGTGGAATCTTTGTGACAGCACAGTGGCAAGGCAGTTGCATTCGCTGAGTCACGTAGATTATGAAGACTGTGGGTTTTGCTCTGTCTTTCAGGTTGCTTTGCGGACAACTTTTTGTCTGTGCAGGAGGGCAATTCTTGCATGTTATTTGGTGCAGCAAGAGCTTTATCCTTTGGAACCCACAGGTTTTATTTTATATGTATACATAAATATACAGATACACACACATAAACTTGGTGGGTTTTTTTCTTTTTGCATGCAAAGCTATGTTCTTAGTGTTCAAAATCCTGTACATTCAACTGATTAAATTATTTAATATAAAAAACTTTACTGTCAGTATTACATGACTAAGTATTTAAGAATACACCTTGGAAAATATAATTATTCAGGGCACAGATCATGAATGCCTTGTGAAGGAGTAAATAGCATTCTTTTGAGCAGAGATATAGAAAGTGTTTGAATAAATATTGTTAAAGAAAAATGTTAACATGTTAATTCAATCAAAAATATTTCTCTCTGTGCTCCTCACATGGCAATTCTCTTTATATGCACTAAATAGTTGTGCTTGAGTAGTTCAGTGGAAAATATGTCTGAATTTAAAAAATACATTCTAAGTACTCTATTGCAGTATTTAATATCAGCAGTCATAAGACTAAGCAGGATTTTTTTAAACTCTGGAGGTGAATCTGTAGCTTTCTTGGGAAACTTTTTAAAGATACAGTGCAAAATTGCACATTGTGCAAAATAACGTAACCTAGTGGTCTTTGTAGCAGTGGCAAGGACAAGCAGTTAAAAAAGGAGGACATAAGTGCATCTTACACAAGTTGGGATGTGATGTAGTAAGCCTCACTCTACAAAAGAGAAATGCCTTAGACACCTACCTTGGAGATCAAAATCGGTCAGGGACGGATTCAGAGCGTCGATGTCGTTGCTGAGATCCCCCTCCTGCATGAGCGTGTCCTGCATTGTCCTGGCTGTGGAGTGCTCCGTCAGCATCTTCACGCCGCAGCTGGGGGGGGTCTGAGCCGGCAGCGGCGAATCCTGAGTGATGCTGGGCTGAGTTCGGAGTTCACTCTGAGCCTCCCCAGAAGGGAACAGGGTCTGAGGGTCGGGTGACTGTTGCATTAATGTAGTTGAGATCGGAGGAAACCCCTGTGGTGATGTGTAGCACGCGGTTTGCTGCCCCCCGAGCAAATTCGGTACCGGGTTCTTGACATGTAGAGCTCCCGCAGCGTGGATGCTGTGCAATGGCTGTGGTACACCGGAGGAAAGGGAGGGCTCGCACAGGGAGTGGGGCTGGACTGCCATCTGCCTGGACAGGGATGCATTTGCAACGCCCGTCGGACTGCAGGACATCATCGAGGATCGCAGCTTTTCACTTTTGTCGCCTATCAGTGTGTCAAGTTCTTCTACAAAAGAAGAAAAAAGTCCATGACTTACTTGTTCCTAACAGAGCCTTGATCTTCATAGCTTGCAGCTAGAATTTTAGTGTTGCTCAGGAAATGGGTGAGTGGAATGGCAAACAAAAGTGCTAGGCCATATGTGATAAGAACTTCAAAAGCCTGAGACGTTTTTCTAGATTATCATTGCCAAGTGAGTATGCAATGAATTGCATTTCTGTGTTTAAATGTTGGCTATTTATCAGTTAATTTCAAGTTTTATTCTATATTACATATTTCAGTGTTGTTTTTATCTTAAAGTTTAGTGAGATGTCAAGAGAGAATGTTTTCTTAGTGAAGCTGCTTTGTGCCTATTTGGAAGCACTCCTAGAAAACCAGGTCTTATTCAATTCTGCTTTTTTTTTTTTTTTTAATTTGTTTTGTCAATCACTTTATGACCAGGAAAAACTCTTAAATGCTTTCCTAGACTGTGTATCAATTCTCTTACACAGCTTGGTGCCTATTGCAAAGACAAGTTCTGGGAACCACTGTTTGAGAACTAATACACTAACGTATTACTGACCTGGCTTTGCCATACTCTTCCTTACAGCAACTGGGTCTTTCCTCTTCCATTTCTGAAGCTCCTCCTGCATCTTATCAATTTTGGCTGGATTCAGAGCCCACAAGCAGCCTTTCCGAGAAGAATTGCCTGACTTGTTTTCAACTTTCTCAAAGCATTTGTTCAAAGATAAGTTGTGGCGTACAGAATTCTTCCAGCCATCTGGAGCTGTCTGGAAAAACAAATCCAATCTAAGAATGGAAGTTCAAGGAAAAAAAGAAACCAATATATTTCTGTGTTTTGACTCGTGAGATTGTAAGAATTTCTGTTTAGATTATACTTTCTAGAATAGGAAACTGATACATTAGAAGGAAGCCACAAAAATGTTAGAGTCATGTTGTATGGAAAGAGAGGAATCGGGTAAAAGAGATCTTCTAAACAAGAAGGTTGGCCTTGGCAGAGGGACTGCTATATTTTTAAGAGTGAATTTGCAAATCACAAGCATTAAGTGTGTAAAGAATTGTCTTTTAGAACAGTGAACTATCAGGAAATATATCTTAATCTCTTTTGGAACACCTAGAAAAATTTCAAACACTTAACTGAAGGTATACATGCTATTTGGACTCAAATTAAGTGTCCAAACAGACTTCAAAAGAATTTTAGCGTGCTACCATAGGTGTAAATTTGCTAGCCAACTGTATAACCGAATGGTTTAATCACAAGCCCTACGAGTGAGACAGAGGTTTCTACATCTGATCACTGTATCTTTTTGCTCTGCACTTATTTTTAACTCAGTAGTGGAAGCTGGAAGGTTCGTTAAACTGAACAATACATATAAGCTTCACTGAAATGATTCCTCTGTTTTTGTTTAGGCCGTTTCTGGTCAATGAGGGAAACAAAATTCTCTCCTTTCCCTGAGGACAGTTTTGCATTCAACTTCAAGAATGGAAAGAAAAGAAAACCTAGTGCAAATCCTCTGTTTATGCAATTTAATTTTTACAATCTTTTTTTTTCTTCCCTGATTGCTTGTAAAAGAACTTTGAAAATGAATATTGCTGTAAGGGATAAAGAGGGAAATACCCAGCAAAATGGTCCTGCTCAGATTCTGATGGGAAATGCCTGTTTGCTTACTACTCTGAAATGCCAATCTTGAAGAAATGGCACTGTATGCTTTTATTGCATATAAGTTTTTCTAGTGTTTGTTTCTTTGATTTCACTCATTTCTGCTTACTTAGTCATGCAACTAGAAGATACTGCCCATCACATTAAGGCTTTGTAAATTAGTATGCGTGTTCATATCAGAAGATTCCTATAGTAAATTCATGATGTGTCACTTCCTTGCTTTTCTTTTGGTAGGTACCGTACGATGCTATTTGTTGCGTATCTGACTAGAACTGTGTAAGCTCATTGCCACTGCACTGTAGTGTTAAGAAAAAAAAAAGGGCAGGAAAAATGGCTTGCTTTTATAATGGTAGAGATCAGCCTGAGAAACCCAGCTTCATTGTGATAGATACAACTGCTAGTCCAGCTAGACTTCCCTTGTTATTGTAAGGCCGGTTAAAAAAAAAAAATTGTAGCTTTACCTGTGTCAGTCAAATGATATTCTTTCCAAAAGGTCTGCATATGCAGAGATGAGAGATTGCAAGAGGGAGAGACTTTAGAGCTCATTGGATTACGGAGAGTGATCTTCAGTACTAGTGTATGTGAGAGCTTTTTTTATTCTTTTTTGTTTTAAAAATCAGTTTTGGATGCTTTTTCTTTTCTCGTTTCAAAAAAATCCTCACCTGTGTGTCATAAGAGTGAAAAAAACCAGTTCTCTGAAAAGTGGGTGAAGTTGTCTGTGTGCCACTATTGATTCATGTTCATGGATGCAAAATATTTGTCGTCATAATTGTTTATATCAACCACTGAAAATTATTGAACAGAGAGCACAAGAATTACATGTGATTTTTCCATAGTATTTTTAAGGAGGTTAAAAATTAAAATTTCCCTTTTATATGCATGAAGTTTCCTTTCCATTCTTATGCTTTATTAATAGGGAACCTTCTCTCCTAGTAAGCCAGCTTTTTGACAGTTTTAAAATTGTTGCCTAGTGTAACAGATTTCTTCTAAGACCATCTTTTAGAAATGGACTTGTGTCCATTTTTGCTTTCACATGATAAACCATGAATTTTTTGAACATACTTTGACAGAAATTCTACTTTTATCAGGAATGTAAAATCTGTTCTTTCCTAGTTTGTTGTGAAGGACTATCTTGTAGGTTAAGGTATTAACAGCCTTATTGAAGAATTTGAGGATCAAATTAAATACTTGCTTCCTTCATTAAAAAAAAAAATTATTTGTGGGCATTAAATACATGTTATTGACTCAAAAAAAATAAACTATTTTCCCTTCATAGCAGCACAGTTTCTACCCTTTTGGCCCACCTGATGTCAGCATTTCACTATTCTGTTAGCCAGTCCCATAGGTGAGACAATATGCATTTCTATTTTAAAAAAACCCAAAACATTTAAAACTCTTTCTGCCATAGGCTAACACTAAAGATGATGAGTCAGTTTTTTTCCCTCACAGATTGTATTCAAGTTGCTTTCTGGTAGTTCCAAAAGTGAACAAAACTCTTTCTCCTAGGTAAGATGTGTACTCAGCTACTGGATAAGCTGACCTGAAAGAACACTCATGTTTCTTGTCCTGCACATGAGGCTACACATACTCTGTCTGTATCTAGACAGGATAATTAGTATTTCTGCTAAGCACCAGAGAAGATGGGAGTGGCATGTGTTTCTCAGAGGTTTTCAGAATGTGTGGGGGTGTAAACTGTGAGATAGTTTTAGAAACATAAGAGCAAAAAGTACACAGATTTATTCTGGAGACTGCTGCAAGAAGTTGAACAGGTTCTTGCATTAAACTTTGTATTGCTGAGCAGCGAAAAATAGTCATTTACCTAGGTAGGCCCTGAAGGAACACTCAGGCAGTGTGTTCATGTTACAACTCTGTCACCAGTTTTTAAAGTTAATATTTGAATGTCTGTTAATGAACTGAGCTTTGGCTTCTGAAGTTCCTCTGGTACAATTGGAATCTCCTTGCTATGGCTCGCTTTTGCCATTACTGCATTCAGTGCAGTGTGGATGAAGCTGTGGGGAGTTGGACTCTGCAAGAGAATGCTTGCTGCTGTAAGTTCCATCAGACCACGGACCTTTCTCACCTCTTGGACCACTGGCAATAACTCCAATTAACAAGATTAAAGCTTTCTGTTAGACTCACTAATCACTACAAAGGAAAAAAAAAGGATGACAAGCAAAAAATATTATTGTACAGACCCATTGATCCTGACCGCCTCTTGAAGTTTAAAGAGTTCAGTGATCTTGCAAAACCCTTTCTCTTTAAATCTAGGTCTCCAGAGAAGGGAGAGGTACATCAAAGTAATTCAACTTTAGCTGCGTAGATATTTTTTTTTTAGGACGTAGGAGTTGGATTGCTCTGTTTCAACTAGAAATGAGACTGTTGCATCATAGAAACTAAATTTGCTGTGGTAGCGAATACAAGTTAATTTGACTAGGCTTGTATCATCTAATGTCTCCCAGCAAGATTCTGTGTACACTTGTACTCTGTTTCTCTCCAACTTAAATTGCTTCCCCTCCCCCTGTTGTATCCTGCTGTTTAGTGAGTTCTGGTAACAACAACAAAATGTTCTTTGCTGATTTTTGTATTACATTATCTTGCTCAAGACTCTCCAAAAAAAGGAGGATAGAGAATATTAGCTTTTACCATATATTGGTTGTTCCGTGTGTTGCTGTAAAGACCAGAGGTAGACAGGGCTTAGTGTCTGTAAGAGTAGGATGTCCTTGCTTATTCTCCCCTGCTTATTTTAAGAATGTTTGGGATGGAACTATTCAATCGTTTAACTGTATTTGTAGGTCAAATGCAAAAAATAAAGCCAGCACAAAAAAGTGAGTGTTCCAGTAGTACCCCCTGCACAATTCTTTTCTTATAATGCATATGATGCTAGTAACCTCACTCTCATCAATATTTAAATGAATTAAGAAAGACGTGAGGATCTCCAAAGAAAAAAAAACCACCACCAAAAGCCGCTCCCTGTGGAACAGGCAAGTTTTGGTAAATAATACAGAAAAAGTTTAGATTGGGTATAAAGCAGTTATTTAAAGCTGTGGTAGGAGTACACCTACTGTACAGATGAACATATGTATACACACATCTGTATGTATACACACAGACATATGAACATACACCTATCCATACACATTTGCACACAAATATCAAAATATATGCAATACACAATGTTTACACACTATATATAGTTAAGGAAGGATGTATATCTCCCTAATGTTTCTGCTGTGTCAGAATAACATCAGGACCAGGAAGGTGACACCTGGAAGAGTCACAGTCTTGTGTGTGAGGAATTCTGTGCATGTTGGCAGCAGTAGCACTTAGTTTGCAAGCTGCCGATTAATTTTATTAATTGATTGTGTTGTAAGGCAAAGGAGAATTAATTTCAGTTTGGTCTGATGCAGAAATGTGGACATGCCTGTAAAACTTATTTTTAATATTTCCACCTCTCTGCTTGAAACTTATGCTGTGTTTCTAGAAAATGATAATCGGATAAGAATGCATTATTTTGCTGTAGATGACGTGATTTGTGCATTATGCTCAGAAGCGTAGTTCTGCAAAATACCAATTTCAGGATGTTGTGGCCCAGGACCTTTTTGACAATCATCAAACTCTTTTCCTTTGGATTATTAATATTTCTTGCAACTAATGGTAAACACATGGAAAGTAGGGTTAATACTCTGTTAGGGACAAAATACAAGTCTTGAAATTTATTCTTGTTTTGAAAATGAAAAAAAATTTACAGCTACTATATTCTTGTCATGTGCCATTTTACCCTTCTTCCTTTCCCTGTTTAGATTACTGTCACTACTTAATTTCGTGAGTTAAGCCTAAAAACCAGTTGTCTCCCTGCGACTTACAAAGTTAGAGTGCTTCAGATTTGTTTCACTGGATTATGACCAGTCACGTTGCGATGGGATTCTTGAATTATGATGATAGATTTCAGTATCTTTTCTCCCTTCACTTGCTTGTAATGAATAATAGAGTTGCTAGTGATTCCTTTGGGAGGAAGTGTGGGAATACAGAAGTGTAATTTAGCTTAACAGTTCTTCCTTCATGATAATGTTGGGTTTTTTTTAGTCTGATTACTGACATGATTTTTTTGGTGGACATTATTTGTTCTTAGTGTCCAAGACCGTTCCAAATTTGTGCCAGAACATTTATTTTTAGGTATTCTTAGTGTTCTTAATACAAATGTTCGAATTGTCTTTTTTTAGCTGCTTTATTGGTTTCGTTGCTGCATGTTTATTTGCAATAGGAAACAGGACAGACTCATGGTACTTTATTCTCATTTTTGGGCCTTGCTAACAGTTGCAGATCACCTGATCTGGACTTTTATTGAGATGTTTTTGGAGAATCAGCAATAATAAAGCTCTGTGTTGAGCTGCAGTCGATTCTATTTAAAATATTAACTGCTCTTTTTAGAATCTTAACTGTAATCCTTCTGCTGTTGGATCATGTGCTGACTAATCTCTTTCCACTTGCAATCCAAGTGCAAGAAACCATTCTCTTATAGCATGGATTTAGATTTCAATAGTATCTGCTGCAAACCATACAACCTTAACCTTCACCAACATTACTGTATAATTATGAGCTTAGTAGCATTTATCACATATTATACTTTTCTTTGTGCAGTGCATGCAAGTGGTGAAGTTGCCCAAGATGGATATCCCAGCTCCAGAACAGAGCAAGATAACCTTGAACCTCTGCTTCCGCATGAGTCTGGAGGTGCTGCTGATGGCAGAGGAAGCCCCAAGACCAGTTCTGCCTGATTTGAGGTCTGAGAGGAAGGAATGGATGTGTTTTTATACATATTTATCCCTTTTATGAGTTGTTAGTGAGGAATGGCCACTTTTTATCTACTTGTGATCATAAAGGTAGATAGTGTATGATTGATTTGATATTAATCTACTAAGAAATGATCCCTTTTTGTAGACTGAATCACCTCCCTTATTCCCTCTGCTGCCAGATAAACTGAGAGAGACTTCCCCCCCCCTCCCTGTGGAACTCACCTTAAAGTAAGGAAAGTGTTCCGTCATGAAATTGTAAATCTCACTGACTGGCAAGCTCCCTGTCTTGCTGTTTTTGAGTGCCATGAAGATGAGGATGCTTTAGGGAGAGAAAGAAAATTATTTTAGCCTGTTCTGCTTGACTCTCAGAAGCAGAAAAAAAGACTGTTTTTCACAGTGCGTGTAATTACTCTGGCTTTCGCTGTCATAGCATGAATATTGATGATGCTCAAAGTTTCCACTTAGTTGTTTGTAAGGAATTTCCTAACACTGGGTAACTTCTAGAGGTAATTGTCAGAGCGCTTATAGAAGGTCCAACCTGGGTTTAAAATAAAGTAATAGAAAGTGGAATCAAGACCACGGCCTTCAAGTTGTGCTAGTGTGTATTTACTTAATGTTGTGTTTGAATGCTTAAACTGATAAAGGCCACAAAGAGAATATCAAACTGACAGTGACAGGAAGTATAATTAAAATGTAGCTGTCTGATCTACTTTGTTAGACTGCCATATGGGGGCTAAACCTGTGTGGTGACTGGCATATCTGATGTGTTTTCTAGGCATTTGCTTGCCCTAGTAACTGGAGGAAAAATGTAGTTTAAATACAGGTCCTGGAAAAGACAACTAAGAGTGATTAGTCTCGTGCTGATGAAATTTGCAACACTGAAGATTTTGTATTAGAGAAATGTCTAGCTTTCATGGGGGTAATCAAGACTGTTCACGTGCTTTACAACATTTCATTTCACTCTGCCTTGGCCCCTGAGTCTGGAACGTGTTGTGATTCATGCAAACAGGACAGAGCACACTGGGAACAAGACATAAGAGTAAGCATATTATTGCAAATTATGCTGGAAATTGGCCATGGGTAAACAGTGTATTTCCTGTAACGTTAGGACTTGAAAAAATATTTCGTTACCTGTAGGAGTAGATGGGTTTGGGAAATAGAGGCTGCTGGGATTCTTGACTGCTTTGAGGAGCGATTCTTTGGTAAGGGTAGTGTGAAGAAGTAATATAAGTCACAGGATAGCTGCCTCCCGAGGGATACTGATGATACAACAAAAGAGATTTTACTTGGCTTAGCAACAAGCTCTCAAAAATATTTTTCTCAGTAACAGTATTAAACTCTCTAGTTCTGAGGATGTTGTCCTCTGCCTGCATTTAATAACTTATGCCAAGTCAGACAAAAAGTTGTTCTAGTGTGGTATCGGAAAACATGAATATTACTAGTTAATGCTTAAGAAGTAGAAGAAGTGGGGCATGCATGAAGAGAAACTCGCTAATATGTTGGCTGCTACCAGATCCTGTTGCCATGTGTTCCAAATTGAAGTATGTAAAAAAAGTACTCGCTTTATTATTGCCTGTTATGGTACTGAGTTCTTGTGAAAAATGGGAGTAACTGTACCCTATTGTCTCCAGATAATTCATAATTTTATAGACCTAAAGCATATCTCCCTTTAGCCATCTCTTTTCCAGTTGAAGCATCTTAGCCTGCTTAGCCTCTCCTGGATGTTGCACTATGCAGACAAATAAATTAATGGTATAATTTTATTTGTATAAATAAAAAAACCAAAGTCGGAATAAAGTCCTTCAAACAATGTGCACCATTATAAAATAAGCCTATTAAGTAAAGCCACTACAAGTATAGGAAGGGATGGGAAAGTTTTAATTGAGCCTTCTTTGGTTTTGTGTGCTGGCTTTTTTTACTTTTTTAGGTGGAGAGGGATAAAACAAGGTAAAAACTGAAAGTGTAGAAAATCTACTCCCAAGAGAATAGCATCCCAAAACATCTGTTCAATTTGCTGTTATTAGGCAAGGCAGTAAAACACCAAACAACAACAAAAGCGTTAGTGGACCAGTGACGTCAGAATAGATATTAAAGCAAATGTATTATAGAATAAGTTAGTGATGGCATTGCATGGGTCAGGAGAGTGGCACATGAGGTATTTCTTCCTTCCCAGCCTCTGGCAGCCCAGCTGGGTTTTCATATTGCCTGACTTGTACTGAAGCTGCGAGGCTACTTGGTGTCAATGGTTCCCTCATAGTCAATGACAAGCAACAGGCTTCTCCAAGAGGCCAGAAGTTTAAGTGCTGTTACCCACTACCTCAAACAGCTTCTTTTTCTCAATTTTCTGTACCAAAAACCTAAAAAGAATAGCTGGGACACCTTAAATCAAATAGCATTTATGCTACACTCAGCCCACCCCTGGGGACAAGTGACAGAATGCTACCTGAGACTGAAATGCTGAGTTGTCTCTTCAAGGGATCTCTAAGCTTGTCCACCTCTCAAGCCATACAGAAATGGCTGGCCTATCATGTGATCACCATGACAGACATATGCCAATGCAAAAAATAATAGGTGAAAGAGGGGAGATAATACATAGAGATAGTCTTGGTTGCATCAGAATTTCTGCAAGTTTGCTCTTGATTTTTTAACACAGCAGCTGGTCACCTATTTTTCTTCTTTAAATTACAGTTTAAACCTGCTAGCAAGCAACTTTCAAGAACAAAGGAACACTACCCTGCTAAGGTAAGATACCATCAGTTGGCTCTTGGTGAGGCAAAGGCTCCCACTGAACTCGGAGCTCAGTGTGAGAGGCATTTCTGCCTCTTACATATGAATCTTTCCAGATGCCAGGGCTAGGGCACGGCCAAAATTAGGAGTCAAGTCATATACTATTAAAAATCAACCTGCATGCCTTCCCTAGTACTCAAAGGTTGCTGAACCCTGTTCTGGTGTTTCACTGCTTAGCTCTAGAAGTCCTGTGTCATGAGGTTTTTATCATTCCTCTGAAAGATGATTAGGTAGCTTTCAAGACTTGTTGGGAAAATTTCCTTGGTAGTTGGTTTATATGTCTCCTTAGTTTCTTAGTGTCATTCCTGGTTTTGGACCAGTAGCATCTGTTGCTCTTGGTCTTTGTCCACTTAAAATGACTGTGAGAGATTATCACATGCTTGCAAAAATGCTCGTAGTTTATTTATTTATTCTGGATTCTGAATAATTTATTTCAGTTTCTCAGTATTTTTATTGTTGTTGCTTGAGTTTTTGCCTGTTTTCAATGTTAGAAAGATAAACGTACTGCCTGAAATGGAATGTGGAAAAACATACTGAATACACTAATTTGTTTGCTTCGGTAAGCAGGGTGAAAGAAATGAGATGCACGTTACTAATCATGTCCTGCCTTGTTAAACGAAATACCAGGCAGAACTGCAGTCTCCAGAGCAGCTGTGAACTAATTTCTGTGTGCAGTTCTGTGCTGCCTGCTTTGTAGCATTGTGTGCAGATTTTTCACCAGAATAGAAAACTGGGCAATTCGTACAATAATTTTGATTTTATTGGTTTCAGTGGCTCTTTGAAAGGAAGGGACACTAAGATGGGACTGGTTGTGATGTCATCACCAAAGGCAAGACCTGGGTGTTTTAGGTATTATTTCTGTTTTATTAGTTTCATTACTCCTTTTTGAGGGAACAGAGGCTGGGGAATGGTCTGGTATGACAGGCTTGAGCTGGTTTTACAGTCGCACAACTGGCATGAAAGGTGTCCATGTTTTATGGTGGGTGGGTAAGTGACTTCAGTAAGTGCCTGCTGTTTCATTCAGGTCAGTAAGAAGTAATTTTTCTTGTGAGTCATCATTTGTGTTGTGTCCAGCAAAGGGGAAGGTGAGGCCATTTTATCTTTTGGACAAAATTAACGAAGAAGTTGATCTCTCTCATGCCTCTAATGAAAAGTGAGGTGTAGTTTGAACACCCTTCACTTCAGGCTAAAGGGCCTGTTCTCTTGAGTGTAACTTCCTAGTGATTTAAATTGCACTGCTCCATTCAAATTTGAAATGTAAAGTATTAATACTGGAGCTGCTTCATGCAAAAGATGTTATTTCACTTCTTTTCAGTCTTGTATTATATGTTCTTTCATTTCCCGGTATCTGATTATGGCACACGGACAGCAATTCTACCTGTTATGACTTTGGCTGCTTACATCTATTGTTTTTTTTCCTCTCAGTAGTAGAACATGTTGCCATACTTTTATTATAGTAACATTACGAAGCACAAATATTGAGAAGTCTAACAGAAAGCTGCCGCATGTAAGAGTTCTGTCACAGTGCCAGCCTGCAGGTGGATGGAAGACTTTCTCTTAGTGCTTGTTGTATCTTGCCTAGCAACTCCCAGAAGGTATATTTCAGCTTCAGTTTTGCAGGTTTTTTTGAATGTGGTTAATGCCAATGTACAGTAATAGTACTGGTATCAAATGAGTGGTGACAGGTGAAGGGTGCCTGCTTCAGAATGAATAAAGAAATTAAAAAAATATTCAAATGAATTAACAAGCTAACTGGAGTTTCTGCTAAAGCAACACACAAACCTGACATTTGTACTGTGTGTGAGATGTATGGTGCTGTGTGTGGCATATCCACAATGTCTGTACTGCAGTCCCAGTGGGGAACTAGTTTATGTTTGCAGCAGAGCTTTTGCAGCAAGTTAATCCTTCATCTGGGACCTTTTTTTTCTAAAATAACAATAAAATAAATCAATTTGTAAATTAGGATGGCAGTGTAATATCACCTTTCTTTTTATTCTATTTTAATTTTGTTATTAGCTTTTATCGCTTCTATTGGGGCTAACAAGAAAAAACAAGTAAATTAGTTATGATGGTGTTTATAAGAACTTTAAAGATAGTTACCTTTTTGCCACGTTATAGGGGAAAAAAAAAAGACTCAGTAAATTCTGGTTAGTGGAATGCCAAAGTGATAGGTAAAAGATAAAGCCAGGAGTGAGATTATTCTCTAGTTGAATTTCCGACTTAATGTAGGAGAACTGCTTTTTTCTGTCGTCCATGCCTTCTCTCATCTGTTTAGCATCTGTACACTTCTGAAGCTTTACAAGGCTACCCACTGCGGACAGTTGATACAAAAAGCCCTTGGTATTGAAACTGTTTGACCTTCAGTAGTACCTGGGTGCCCTAAGCAAATTGGTTTGTCCTTGTGCAACACCTGGTTGGAGAAGAACCTCCATACCCCTGAGTTTCTAAGCTGATTTAAATACAAAGTCCAGTTAGTGGTCAGGGGCTGGCCACAGCTGAGGGAGCAGTGAGAGAAAGGTGACAGGAGTAGGAACCTGATTTTAGAAGTTTATTTCATTTAAGTGTTGGTACTTGAGGATGCTTATTAAGCTACCTTGCCACACCATCCTATTGATCATTTTAACTGTCCCAGTCACTAAAAGTTCAGAAAGGCCATAGGAGTCCCTGATGCTTTCCAAGTAGTGATACAGGTAGTCCTTATTCTATTCCTCTCTATATCTGAGGTGTTATACACTGTAATAATGAGACATCTTCTTTTAAGTTGTAGTAGACAGGTGAGGCATTTGGAAGTAAAAGAAATACACAATTAAAAATATGAAAAAACACTGCTGAGGTATGGAATACTTTCATTTATCCTTAGTAATGTTTTACAAAAATATAACAAATAAAATTCCTAAAACGTCATCTGTGACAGAGGATTTAATATTGTTAATGATCATAAAGTTCTTACATAGGTCTATTCTTGTTCTTTATGGTCATTCATCATCTGTTTTCAGCAGTTACTTAAATTGCCTTATAAAGAAAATCATGCCAAAAATAACCTTTCTTTTTCCTCCTTAAAGACTAAATCCTGATGATGAATTGTATGATTACTATTTCAGTGACTCAGACTAGTAACACCATACAAATTAACAATCCCAGTGATATATCATAAGGTAACCTATTTTTTTTGTTTTCTTTGCACAGTTTTGAATCACTGCTCTGCTAGTGACATTTTTCTGTACTTCTTGAGCAAGTTGAATGAGATGGTAGAGCTGATTCCCCAGTATCAGTCATCAGTCAGTGGGATCTAAAGAGTTGTAAAGCATGTGAGCTTTTGTGTTCACATATTTTATATATATCAATTTTCTGCAAGTTTAATTCAGTTCTAATGGTTGGGATTTTTGGTAGCTGTGTTACTTTTGTATGTGGATTTCTGCCTATATATCTGAAAAATTCTCATTTGCCTTAATTTTACCTTAAATAAGTTTTGTGCTTGTTTGTTTTTTTCAGTTAAGGTGCTTCAAACATATTTTTATCTTCTTGAATGTGTTGCTGAAAATTTTACACATTGCAGATAAATGAGCATAAAAGAGGGAAATTTCATTGCATTGAACGGCACCCCCATTAATATCTAAAGGAAACTAAAGACATTTTGGAGTCATGAAAATTACTTTCTCTAATACATACCCTCCCTGTATGCCAAGTTTTCAACGCTCAGTCCACCACACTTGCTAACCTCTGTACATAAGTACTAAGATCAAATGTAAGATTAATATATATATGTGTGATTTACAAAGATAATGTGTGCATACTGCTTTGAAAATGTGAACTGACATGTATTCAAATGACATCTAAATACATGCAGGGAAAACAAGATGTCAGTTACTCCTGTGCATTTTTAGTATTAATAATATAGTTACGTTACGGAAGAACAGTCTTAATATTGTGTGCTCTCATGCATCATCAGCATTATTGTCAATTATGCTTCACCTGAATAATCTTTCACTGGGGATGATGTAACAGTCAAATGATTGCAAAAGAGATGTGTGTGCCATCAACCACAAGGAAACTGAACATTACCTTGCTGTTAAAATTTTGCTTCAAAAATGTTTTTCTATGTTCAATCTGAATTTTAGGTATACAGTCGCATATATTTGGGGTTTTTTATTCTGAAGTTAAAGCACAGTTAATTCCCTGGGATCGTGGAATGCTGACAGTTATGTTAATAATTTGTCTGGTTTCAAAGCCAATTTTTTTGAGCATAGTGGTGAAAATGTACGTAAGCAGTACCAAGATCCAACCCCCCCCAGCAGACCATTTAAAAATGCACGTAGATATAGTTCTTTTGACATCTCATTGTCATAAACAAAATGTATGTATACAAACGTGGCTCCACAAACACAAATTTAGTAGGTAGTGTTTCATCTATCTTTTTGTATTATTACTATAATTATTAAACTGTTATAGTGCTAGAAATGCAGGGTTTTGTGGTCTTCATATTGTACTGACCTGATGGAAAGGATGTGAGGGGCAATACATCTGCTGCGCTTGAGGCTGATAGCAATACAAACCAGGCTGCCCTTCCAGTGGGGATGTCCTAAGCTTGATGTCTGAATCCTGCTAGAACATATTTAAGGGAAGAGTTATTGGAGAGAACACCTCAATTCAGAATAGAATAATTTGGTTAGTTACTGTTCTGTTTTGTTTTTCATTATCTTTGCTATGCTTTTGGAGTTGATTCTGTCGCAGTAAGTGTTACATAGAATCTGTTTATATACTACTGGTACAAAAAGAAACATCTTTTCCTGCATGTATATGATTACTACTTGAAAAAGGAAATCCCAGTCCATGTTCCATAC